AAATTAAAATCTACATAGAAATGAAATGAAAAAAAAACAAAACAAAACCACACAAAAAATGAAATAAAATAAAAATAACACAAAAAATCAAATAAAATAAAAATAAAGGAAATAGAGAAAGAAACGATACTCCGTCGTCTCTTTTAGATCTTTGTTGATAAAAAAATTTGTTCTTCTCCGACATTGTTCGACGTTCGGGATTGAACCATGATTATTGGGAATAGTAGTTCCCATCAAATAGGCTAGAGAAAAAAATTGAAGATAATTGGAATAAAAGAAGGAGACGGAGAATGGGAGATGGTCGAGGACAAAGGAGAAAAGAGGATGGGTGAGGAGGTCGCAGTCGGAGAGAAAGGAGATAAAAAAAAAGATAAACTAATGGAAATGAAGGACAAAAGATAAAAAGTTGATGGTTAATTAGTAACTGACAATCAACATAGAACTGATATCGTTTATGACTAAATGAGAAAAAAAAAAGGCATAATTTAAATGTAAAAGGTAAAATAATTATTTTTTATCACTTTTTAGTCATGTCACTTTAATTATTATTGAGTAATAATTAACTTAAATGCCAATTTTTAATTAAACTTAAATTTTATGACAATAGATCATTAAAAGTAAGTAATTTAATTATTTTAATATTGATTTAAATTAAAAATTATAAATCTCGAATAATATTACATTTAAAGAAATAGAAAATAAATTATACCATTCTTTTAATGATCAATCAAAGTATAAAAATGACCTGGGTAGTTTAAAATGTTAAAATGCATCCATGTTCTATTTTAATAAAAGAATCAGGTATGAAATTGAAAAGAATTACTAAAGTCGAGTACCAATTTGTACATTAACCCTTTACAAAATAATAGAATAACTTTCACTTTCCATCGCTGATTGGAAGTGTCGGATGCCACCAGCCGACAGCTAAAACACAGGCATATTAGCAAAAAGACAGCACAAAACGACTTGAACACGCTCCATTAGATTGGTCAGAGCTCAAAATTGATAAGAATATACTTACTCAGGAAAAATTGAGTAAAATTTATCATTATAAACCGCAAATGAAAATTAAATTTACAATATTTATATTTATAAACATAGAATTTAATAACATTTTCAGTTTCTTTTATCTTAAGAAAAGAAATTAAAAAGACACAATTCAAAGATTAATACAGTTTTAATGGCAAGGTCCAAGTCTAATCAGATTTTTAATTTTATGATATTTATTTTATTTTTATAAACTATCAATTTACATCATATAAAAATAAATGTATATTACTTTAATATTATGCATCTCCTAAACTCAGACTAACACTTCATGAAGAAACGACTTTTCAATAAGATATGTAATAAGTCCACGTGATTATCATAGCCAAAGTTAATGTGACTATCTACTTTACATGTAACCTATGAGTAGAAATAATAATTTTATGCCTGACACCCGTACTAAAAACTACTATAAAACAACTCGAATAAAATTGAGAGAAGGGATGAAACCCTCTTGCTTCTACTCATCTCTCTTTTACCTCCTAATGAACATAAAATATCTTAAACATATCAACGATTATTCTTTCACTAATTACGGCTTTTTTCAACAAAAAAAATTATGTTTTTGACCATGAAGATATCTATTTTGTTTGTTAACAAATAAGTCGAGTGAAAAAATGATTTTGATTGAGTAATTTCCAAAGTTATCATTACAATGTATACGAAATCATATTATAAACAAGTAAATTACAATATTTTCATCATATTCTCGAACTACGAATAGTTATTATCTATCCGTTTTAATAGTTCAAATCTAGATCGTATGTCAAACTTTAACGATATACATATATAATTACATATATTATCTGGTAGTGGGTATGAAGTGCTGTCGTAGTGAAACTCAGTAATGGTAGCTGAGAGCTGAAACCTTGGCCTGGAGACCTTCTTGAATGTAAACAAAGATGTAGTCTGCACCAAGGTTAAAGACCTTAAGCCATTGTGGAAGCTCATATGTGTTCTTGACCGGAGTTGGTGAAAATCCCCATAAAGGCCCCCTCAGATCTTCCACCGCCACCTTCAAATCCTTATCGGCTTTCCAGATATGTTATTTATTATCACCTTGTGGCGGTAGTAACTTGTTTTCCCAACGTTCCATGTGTTGGTAATCGAGTGCAGGAACTTAACCGGTGAGCCGCCTGCAGAATATTTGCAAAACCCAGATTATAAGAAATTTCAACTAAACCCATATTATATTCCGGTTGTTCGGAATAGCCAAGTCGCAGCCCACAACAGCTCATTCTTCAAAGAAAAAATTTCATTGAGAACAATGAACATCTGCACATAATAGAGGAATGCAGGATGAACAAAGATAATATATTACTTACCGAATAACCGAACGATTTATGAAACTGCTTAGCACACTGAATGGAATTATCGTATATGCCTCTAAATCTGTCAGCAAACGAGAAAAACTGCGAAGATCGATCAAAGATTGAAACGTTAGTGAAAAATGTGTGCTAATAGAATGATACAATGGGACTAGTAGATGTTTGTTTACCTGCTTGGCATGGACTAGGAGGAGATCCGAGTAAGAAGAGTTGTAAAGTTTGAAAGCTATAGCAGCAGCAGCCAAAGCAGCAGCCGTTTCACCACCAGAGGACATTAGGTTGAGTGTGAGCCTTGATGAAGTATTCCGTGCCCCATCGGATCGCCCACAAAGTATGTCCCATTTGGTTTAGATCAGTAATTTCCTTCCTGTATTCAGTTGTTTCCCACGCGAGCATCGTAACAGTAAACGCCATCGGCAACCCGAACTTCACATGATCCTCTGCATCATAGTATCCTCCCATCAAGTCCACCTGCATTATCATACCATCATCATCACCAAAACAAGTTCAAACACACGATGAGCTCTTACTTCAATCTTTACTTCTTACTCCTTGAAGAGAACCGTCCTCGAGGCCGGAGTCACCTCGCCACTTGATACGCTGGTCGAACGGCAGTTTACCCGACCTCTGTGCCTCGAAGAACATGAAGGTCTTGTCGAGAGCTTCACCGTAGTTGAACTCAGCGACAACAATGGCTGCTTGGAATGCCAGCACCCCAACCAGCAGGATAAGTTGAGCACCGGCGTCAAATTTATCCCTGATATGAAGAAGAGAGCTTGGATTATTGGTTCTCATTTCAACATATGCTTTTATAGATGACAGAGACTTACTGAAGGGAAAGAAAAACAAAAACATGTTTGAAAATTTGTCTGAAATTGATTACAAGGTTATAGTGGTAGCCTCCACGTTTTAATTCCAACAATCAAGTAGAGATTCTCACGTTCTATATAATAATTTATAATTGTACGTGCAATATATATATATATATATATATATATGAAGGTTGACAAATACTGTTAGTACAATATTCTTTGGAAGAACCTCACAGAAAATCAAGCGTTGAGATTGCAAAACATGTAGCCGACTTTGGGACAAAACATTATTAGATTTATAAACTAATTTAAACGTTTGTTTTGTCAACCTTTAAATAATATATTCATTATCTTGCTACGTTCAAGCAGTACGGATATGTATTTTTTTCTATAATGTATTTAGAAGATAACGATTCTTTTCAAGTTCAAATGTCTGTTTTGTAGACTTTATACAATAATTTTCGGTTAAATTACAAAAAAATCATTAAATTATCAGTAAGATTATAAATGAGTCACTAAATTTTAAAAAGTTATAAATGGGTCATTGAATTAACCTATTGTCACAAACAAGTCACTCTCTGGTTAAGTGCGTAACAAACGCTAACTTTTTATTTACAATTGAGTAACCTAATATTGTAACAATTCATAAATTGAGTGACCCGATTATTACAATTGATAAATAAAATGACTTGAACGTAACATAAGGTTAACATTTGTGTTATTTTTAACCGCAGAGTAGCATGTATTATTGCTACTATCGTAATGTATTACTAGTGGTGTAAACGAACACAACATTTGATGAATTGTCCGTGAACCATTCGTATAATGTTCGTTTATATTCATTTATTAAGCTAAATAAACGAGTACGAACAAAATTTTTATGTTCAATTAATAAGCAAAAGAACATGAACAAAGGTGTGTTCGGTTTGTTTATATTCACGAACAAGCTTATTTACTCGATTTTCTTTTTCATTTTGAGTTCGTTTAAATATTGGTGAAAGCATTAACTAAACTGAACACAGGGTGAACATTTGAGTTCAAGCTGTGAAGCCTAAGGAGTTTAAGGACCAATGGTATAATTTCACTATTTTGACGAATATGTTGAAACAAACATGTTCGTTAATGCTAAACAAACATGTTCGTTAATGCTAAACGAACGAACACAAAAAACTTCAAAAATAAATAAACACGAACATGATGTTAAAAATTTAAACAAATATAAACAGAATATGAATACATTCAAAAATAAATAAACAAACGTAAACATAGTTTTATTCGTTCAAGTTCAGTTTATTTATACCACTACGTACTACTGCTGATGTTTGCGGACATAGCGTAAGTCACTGGGTAAACTGCGGGTTTAAAATAGGGTATTAAGAAAGTGTCTCAGCATTTTATATTTGAACCATTGGATGCTTGGAACAATGAATTATCCTCGAATGTGAAGCTGAATAATGTTTAAGCTTTGGGAGCTTGAGACTTGACCACAAGTTAAGGCCCCTTCAGCCAATGGTGCACCACAACCAAGCACAAGTCAACACATGCAACTATGCAAGCTTAAGGGACAGAGAGCTAGATATCTATTTTTAATATCTGACTTGACTCGATCATATAGACATTTTTACTTTACATTTAACCGTAGTTGAATCAAATTTATATATGTTTTAAATCGATATCAACTAGTTTGCTATCACATAAGTCAAGTTTACACCAGAATTTTTCTTCTTCTTCATTTCGACTGAGTAATTCCTAAAATTTTCATTACAACGTATCCAAATTATATTATAAACAATTACAGTTTCTCATCAGAACTTTAACAATGTACAATGAGTTTTCTGGGACTGGTATGAAGTACGTTTCTGTAATAATGGTAGTTGAGAACTGAAACCTCGGCTTGTGGACCTTCTTGAATGTAAACAAAATTGCAGTCTGCATCAGGCTTCAACACTGCAAACCATTGTGGAAGCTCATATGTGTTCTTGACTGGAGTTGGAGAAAGACCCCATAAAGGCCCCCTCAGATCTTCCACCGCCACCTTCAAATCTGTTATCGGCTTTCCAGATATGTTCTTAATTACCACCTTGTGGCGGTAGTAAGTTGTTTTCCCAACGTTCCATGTGCTGGTAATCGAGTGTAGGAACTTAACCGGTGTGCCTGCTGCAGAATATTGGCAAAACCCAGTTTATAAGAATTTGCAACTAAATAAATAAATATATTTATATATAACGATTAACCAAGTCTTTTATATTTGGTGTTCACTTTTTTTGTATTCACCTGGAGATTTTGTGCTAGGAATATGTGTTTCTGGGTGATGGTAGCCTGTGGATGCTTGGGCTGTTGTTGGTCGTTTATGTTGGCCTATATTTCCGTATAGGCTTTCAAGCTTAGAGAAAAGGCCGACAAGCGGTGCAGTCCCGGAAAGTGTAGGCTCAGTTTGCTCATAATTCGAACGATCATCGTTGAAGTCGTCGTTCTGATCTGGTCCACCCACCAGTGCTCCATAAACGACATTTGGATCCACTCCGGGGCGGCGGTACCAGTCCTCAAATCCACCAACACAGCTCACTAAAGAAGAAAGAGCTGAGATCGAGGCAATCGAAGCGCCACGGTGGTGAACGTGGATCGGATATTTCGGTCCGTAACCTACCAAGTAGCTCATTGACACGGGGTTTTTGCCCAGAATGTAGTCGGCCTGTAAGACAAATCCATGTATTTCAAAATCCGCATCCATGTGAGCATTTGCACGCGTGCATGCATATGCATACCTGAGACTTAGCAAAGTTTAGAACTTCTTGAGGTTGAATTTGGCCATCAGGACAATTGAGTTTCGCATTTGCTGCAGAGAGATAATCAGAGTACACAGCAAGAAGAAATGCTGCTGTTGATGCATATTGCAGATTGTTCCATTCACGAACATACATTAAGCCTCCTGATTTACAAATATAACCACATAAATTATTTACTTGTTTTCACAATAAGGCAGACAATACATACATACATAATTACATACATACCAGGGGTGAGGAGGGAATTGTAGCCATCATTCTTTTGCAGGCAAGCACAGGCAAAGTAATCTGCTTTGGCCTGATATTGCTTTAGTGTTGAAGTGTATGCACCTCCTTTTTGCTCCATAAGCACCTGCAATGGCGCCACCAATCCTTATCTGTATATTTTTTAGTGTAATAAACTAATAATTACTCTAAACATCAAATAAAATACGGGAAAAACGAGTCTATGTTTGCATCATTCGAGTAAAAGATGACAGGAAAACAAAGAATCGATTGAACTCGAACTTCTTTTACCTTTGAAAGAAGGATTTGCACACCAGCATACTTGTTGTCCCAAGAGAACTCTTTGACTGCCCATCCCGTTCCTCCCATATAGACAGCATTGTCCACGACATATTTCAGATATTGTTTCTCGCCGGTTGCTCGGAATAGCCAAGTCGCAGCCCACAACAGCTCATCCTTCAAAGAAAAAATTCATTGAGAACAATGAACATCTGCACATAATAGAGGAATGCAGGATGAACAAAGATAATATATTACTTACCGAATAACCGGACGATTTATAAAACTGCTTAGCACACTGGATGGAATCATCGTATAGGCCTCTAAATCTGTCAGCAAATGAGAAAAGCTGCGAAGATTGAAACGTTAGTGAAAAATGTGTACTAATAGAATGATACAATGCGACTAGTAGATGTTTGTTTACCTGCTTGGCATGGACTAGGAGGAGATCCGAGTAAGAAGAGTTGTAAGGCTTGAAAGCTATAGAAGCAGCAGCCAAAGCAGCAGCAGTTTCACCAGCAAGGTCCGAGCCAGGATGATTCTGGTTGAGCTTGTAAGCCGTTCTCGGGGTCGTCATGTCCTCTGCACGCTCCCAACAGTAGTGATCGGAGTCCCCATCCCCAACCTGATCAAATCGTTGATCATCATATTAACAAACTCTGTTTTCTTACAATATTGTCATAACAAAAAAATTCCTACCTGCCCCCAGAGGACATTAGGTTGAGTGTGAGCCTTGATGAAGTAATCCGTGCCCCATCGGATCGCCCACAAAGTATGTCCCATTTGGTTTAGATCAGTGATTTCCTTCATGTATTCAATAGTTCCCCATGCGAGCATCGTAACAGTAAACGGCATCGGCAACCCGAACTTCACATGATCCCCTGCATCATAGTATCCTCCCACCAAATCCACCTGCATTATCATCCCATCAATCATCACCAAAACAAGTTCGAAACACACGAGTTCTTACTTCAATCTTTTCAACTTACTCCTTGAAGAGAACCGTCCTTGAGGCCAGAGTCACCTCGCCACTTGGTACGCTGGTCGAACGGCAGTTTACCTGACCTCTGTGCCTCGAAGAACTTGAAGGTCTTGTCGAGAGCTTCACTGTAGTTGAATCCGGCAACAACGATGGCTGCTTGGATTGCCAACACCCCAACCAGCAGGATAAGGCGAACACCAATGAAGTTGTTCATAATTAGAAGAATGAACCTAGATTAAGCTTAAGTCCTGAATATTATGACACAGACAATATTTGTCTGAAGCTGCTTATGAATCTTTGGTCTCATTTCAACATTGCTTTTATAGTAGAGATTTAATGGGGGAAAAAACATGTTTGAAAATTTGTCTGAAATCGATTACATGATTATAGTGGTAGCCTCCACGTTTTAATTCCAACAACCAAGTAGAGCTTTTCACGTTCTATATTATACTTTATAAATGTACGCAATACGTGTGCGTGTAATATATATATATATATATATATATATATATATATACACACACGTATGCATGTACGTATATGTTTAAAGGTTGACAAAATAATGCAATGCAGTATTCTATGGAAGATCCTGACCGGAAATCAAGCGTTTCAGATAGCAAAAGAGTTTTTTTTTTTTTTTTATATAAAATGAAAAAAGAATTGATATGAATATGATGATAGAGGTCAGTACGGACGGATCAATGTTTGAATTATAGGGGTTAAATTGCTTAACTTTAGAATGAACGAGAATTTAAAACAATAATAATAAAGCAAATTAGGACTTAATTCCATTAATTTTAAAATTGAGTGATCTCATAAAGTAATTAAACATAAAAAATTGAGAGTTAATATTTAATTTCATTAAATTTAAAACTAATAAGGTTCTGTAAAATAGTAAAATCATAAAAATTTAGAAGGGGCAAGAACTTAGTTTTAATAGTTTTAAAATTATGTGATTTAAAATACAATTAAACCATTAAAATTGCGTACATGTGAAAATATATACTCAACTATATATATAGTAATGACTTTTTAATACTTTAATTATTATCATATATATATATATTAAAAATTAAATAATCAATGTTCGAATTTCTTTATAAACAAACAGATTCTATGTTTTGTAAGTTAGAATCGAATATTTAAATATGTATTCATAAATGTATATAAATTTAAATAATGAATATATGAAAATATTTATCCGTATTTACTTCAAGTCTATAATAAATGATAATTTTAATATTTAAAAATATAAAATTAAATAAAATATTCATAATATCTGAATTCGCAATCCAAATTACCTTATCGACCTTAGTGATAATTGCAGGCTAAGCCCAAAGATGGTATTGGATCTTAATTTGAATAATAAATTATATCCAGTAAGATTTTGACGCTTGAAATTGCCCGCGTAGCCATTGATAATCCACCACCACTAACCGCCATTTCGGATAAGGAAGCCGCACAAAAACAAAACTCTCTGACAAAAAACCAGAGCTCTCAAACGCAGCAAAAGGAAGAAAGCAATAAGGGAACAACAATGACAGCAATGCCCAATCTTCAAGTCACCGATTGCTATTCTTTCTTCGCTCCTCGCCTTCCCCACCGCCCCTTAACGCTACCCCATTCGCGATTCATCGCCAAGGCTTCTGTTCAACAACCCCACCACCATTCTTCTTCTGCTTCGCCGCCATCGCTCGTCAACCGCAGACAGATCATATCTCAAACGGCGTCCCTCGCGACTCTCTCGACTCTCCCACTGCCGGTCAAGTCCGAGGAAGTTTTGTCGGAATGGGAAAGAGTCAACCTTCCCATCGATCCCGGTGTTGTCCTTCTAGACATCGCCTTTGTCCCTGATGACTTGAACCACGGTATTTCTTCTTTCTTTCACTGAGTCTTTAATTTCTTATTTGTGGGTTTTGTTTTCTTAGTTTATTTTTGTTTTGTTTTTTTAAAAGGATTTTTGCTGGGGACAAGGCAGACTATTTTGGAGACAAAAGATGGGGGAAATACATGGGTTCCACGTTCAATTCCTTCAGCTGAGGATGAAGATTTCAACTATAGGTTTAACTCTATTAGCTTCAAAGGCAAAGAGGGTTGGATTGTTGGTAAACCTGCAATTTTGTTGTACACTTCAGATGCTGGAGAAAGCTGGGAAAGAATTCCATTAAGTGCTCAGCTTCCTGGAGACATGGTCAGCTCTCTATCTCATCACTTGCACTAAGTGAGTTAAACAGCATTCGGGAATCGGAATAGCGGCTGCTATATAACAGTAGCAGCGGTGGCCAAAACTGTTATTGTCGAAAATAGAAGTGTAAAGCGAATTCAAACGAATAGTGGTGGATAGCGGATTCAAATTCTATTCCCGTTATTGTTCCGATACGGGAATTTTTTTAAAATTCCAACATTCCGTTGCGGCAATTAAAATTATTATGTTTCATAGTAAGTTGTGCAAATTAAAAAAATAATATCGGCGATACCCACATTGACCGCAATAGCATACGATATGTCTGCATCCGCAATAAACACAACGCGACCGGAAATTTGACAGCAACCGCATTTTAAATCCCATTTGCCCCATATTATGCATTTCATTTTTCAAGTAAAGGGTGCATGTTTTGGTGCTATTTTTTGCATTAAATTTAAATGTTATTGTCAATGTATTTGTAGCATTTGAACTCTTGAGTGTGCATATATGGGAATATGGCTATTCTAAAGATCGGTGATTCAAATGACTTGGATTAAATCATCTGGGTTTGTGCAGGTATATATAAAGGCAACTGGTGAAAAGAGTGCTGAGATAGTGACTGATCAAGGAGCAATATATGTTACATCAAACAGGGGCTATAACTGGAGAGCTGCTGTTCAAGAGACTGTCTCGGCTACTCTGAATAGGTGTGTGTCTGTCTAAAATGAAGTTTAAGTGCATTGCTGTTTTAGATAACCTTTGTTGTAGAGGGTTTTATAGTATGAGCCAATGAAACAAAAGTTTAGGTGTTGAAGAAAGTATATATCTTTTGCACACCGTAAATAAATATAATCATTGCTTTCATGTTCATCTTTATGTTGATGTGCTCCCTCAAGTTTGTTATAGTTTTATTGTACACCGTTTACAATTTAAATGGAGAAATGGCTTAAACAAATTGGATTGCCATGAAATTAAGTAGGCAATATACCCTTTCTGTGAAGAATTTCCATAAGATTATTACACGGTATTAGTGGAAACTACTTACATTGCTCCGTTACTTCTGCAGAACAGTTTCTAGCGGTATTAGTGGGGCAAGTTATTACACGGGAACTTTTAACACTGTGAATCGCTCTCCAGATGGACGATATGTGGCTGTCTCAAGCCGTGGAAACTTCTATCTTACATGGGAGCCTGGACAGGTATAACTCCTTCTGCATAGTTGTTTTCAGAGGATTTAAGGAAGCTGCCTCTCTTTTGAGATCTTCATACAGTCATACTATATGTATGTAAAGAAACATAAAATATTATTGCTACATAGGGGAAAAAAGAAGAAGTAACAGGAGAATGCTTCTTCGTAATAAATATTGCTAAAAGTTGAAACATACTGCTAGCAGTCATGCCTCTATATGTTCTTTGGCACATTACTGAAACTATTGCATCATCTTACTCATTCCTCATGCATGGGTGGTATTGATTCTTCATTGGTGAAATGCAAGGTCTCGTGCACTTATTTTGTTAATGGTAGCGGACAACATTTTAGGAGAAGAAGATTTTGGTCCTGATGTGTCCTGTTGCTACTTATTATTCTGTTTTTCAATTTGGTCATGATGTGTCCATTTATATTTTACAGCCATTCTGGCAACCACATAATAGAGCAATTGCAAGAAGAATACAGAACATGGGATGGAGGGCCGATGGTGGTCTTTGGCTTCTTGTACGTGGAGGAGGACTTTTTCTTAGCAAAGGCACAGGGGTAAGAGAAGTGATAACTTCCCCCATTTTGTCATGTAAATGTTTAAAATGATCTTGAAGAAACTGTAAGAAGAATATACAATTTCATAAATAACTCCTCAATTTAGCATTGGTAAATATGGTTTTATTTGAAAGAGTTTTCAGCTTCCTGAAGGCTAAAAACCATAGGTTAGTTCTCATGTTAAAATGTGACTTTTACCTTTTAACTAGGCTTAGAAAGAATGCAGAAGTGCGGAAATTGAAAAACATAGGTAACGTCGAAGGTTTTCATTTAGGACATTGAATAAACTAGCATGATTTGCTTATAAATGTGATTCTTAATTGCTGAGCCTGATATGATATCCACCGAACTTCATGGACCCAAAGAATGAATCCCCGACTCTTTTTCATGAATGTAATTGCTTGCTAACATTTTGCACTCCTTTAGTAATAAAATCTGAATACTTTCATCTGATATTCTTAATACAAGCCCCTATCATCTTGATTAGTTCATGCTTTTTAAATTGGCACCAATACCTAGTTTCCGTCATTGTTTTTGTTCACTTTAATTCCTGACGTTCCAGTTAACAGAAGATTTTGAAGAGGTCCCTGTACAAAGTCGTGGCTTTGGCATTCTTGACGTCGGTTATCGATCGGAGGTAACTATTATATCCTTAGATATTTGCTACACTGTTTTATCCAGTTCTACAGTGAGGCTTCAAGGGAATCTGGATGAGCAATTGCAGCATCAAATTCCTGGGTTACTGGTGTAAACCTAATGTGGAAACATGCCCATGCAACTCACATACATGTTGCATATATGTATACACGTATGCTGGCATATCCATTGGTACGAAAATACTGTTTTACCACATGATATGTGCATATCAAGATGATAGCATTGTGTACTATATCCCATCTAGCAGATTACATGAATAACGCCCTGGCACTTTGTTCTAAGGGTGCGACCAAATTCTATTCTAAGGCTTCTTCCTATAGTTGTATAGGCATTTCCTTTTACCCTTTTATATTTCCGAACTCCCCTAATCAAATTTTGATTGTATAGGATGAGGCTTGGGCAGCAGGGGGCAGTGGGGTCTTGTTGAGAACTACCAATGGTGGGAAGAGCTGGACCCGTGACAAGGCAGCTGATAACATTGCTGCTAATCTGTACTCAGTGAAGTGAGTCTAATCTTACTAAAAGCTTGACTACTTTGGTTTTTTTCTAATTTATTTTTGGGTTAACTTTCGACTGCTATTATCATTAAGATCTGTGATCCTTTTGGTAGTTAATATTAGATCTTTTTAAATTCATCTCTTAGTAAACTTAAACCAGTGACCGTGACCGAGGCATTGATGAAGTCAAGCATGACTTCCAGAAAACCTTCTCCATGCAAACAAAGCCGTCACCAACTAGGCTTGTTGTCCCTCGGTTCTACACTTTCTATCTTGACCTAAAGTCAACTTTCTTATGGCTTAATAGCCGGAATGAAGAATTTTATGTTTAGGGGCTAGGATAAAAGATGATCAAATTCTAAATATTTGTGGGTGCCAAAACCGGTTTTTAACCATGTTAGAGTTCAATAACATACTTATGCTTAACTGTTTCTAATTTTTCGATATGTGCCAGACATGGGTTTTTTTTTCCCGAAAAGAAAAGAGTCCGAATGACATAAATAAGCATTATTCTTAGATTAAGCTTACAGATTCTCAATTCATGATTTTCAAACTGAATCACTACTAAAAGAAACTGAAAAAAGGAAGCTATATTAGATGTCCAATGCCTTCATTTTCCCTAAATCCTTGAAGTTTCTATCTTTGAATGCAATTGATATCTCAATCTTATATGCAGGTTTATTAATGACAAGAAGGGATTTGTGCTCGGTAATGACGGTGTCTTGCTCCGGTATCTTGGATAAAGCTGTTATCCATACATGGTAATCAACTCGATTTTTATCCATTAATATCCTATACACCACGTATTCTCCCCGGAAAACAAAATCTACAAGTTTATGGTAAACATTTTGCAGTAGAGAAGTTAATGGCATTTACATTCGAATTCTGCAGGTGTTCAACAATGCTTACAATTTTGTATAGCTGATTTACATTACTTTCTTGGTGGTGATATTAAGAGGGAAAAAGGATTTCCATTAATGAGATTATGTTCTCTTTTCTGTGCTTCTCTTCTTAGTCAATTCGATTAATGTATTTACTCTTTCCTGTAGGTTTCTGCAAATGCTTTGCAGAGTGGAAAGAAAATAACAAAATGTTGTATCTGTTTCAAGAAAGTACTATAATGTTGTATCCAATATATTAATACATGTGTATTGGGATGTGGAATTACTATAATCCTCTAAATGCTTGAAGTTCGTGAAGAACAATGGTTTGGTTCGGTTAAAAAAACCGAAAATCCGACTTAATTGACCGACCATGTATTTTTGAACAAATATTAATCGAATTAAGATTTAATTGCTCACTAAAAATAAAATTTAAATTATTGGTTTTAAGATTCTTTAAAGACATTTAAAAGATATTCACATGTTCTTACAATCATTGTGGCAAATGTTCAAACCTTACACGTTGACGTTGGTGCATTAGTCCTTGGTTTGACTAAAAAAAGGGCCCATTTGGTTCTTTAATTTACGCCTTGTTTTAGCCTTTTAAAAAAACTCATGTTTCATTCTCTTAAGCTAGAGAGTCCATTGATGAGACCACTTTCCTATTTGGCAGAGGGCATTTGCTTGATGAAGTCAATGGGAAAGTATAATATTGCTCATATTTTGGGATATTTATGGGTTGCGTCGGGTCAAGTTTTTGATCGATCCAACCTAATTTTGATTTGAGTATTTTGTCTGTCTAGTAGTTACCAGACCTCGATTTAAGGGGACTCTTTCCAATCCAAAATTTAACTTAATTTTTGAAATAAAAATTCACATCCAATTCGACTCAATCCTATATATGTGCATATATAGACATACACAGAGACAAATTCTCATCTTTATTAGCAACACTATCCTATTGGAGGATATCAATTTATTAAAGAAAAATAACATACGAGTATGTTACATCAATGTCATTAAAGGCAATGACCAGAGTATAAACAAAGTTACAAATTAAATAACTCGTATTAATGTTTGAAAATTTTGATGACCAAAGCGAAAACATTCTAAAATTTTAGTAACTATGGGTATAGTTTACCCTCAGATTTTTTTTAGAAGCTCTTATAGTATTTGACCTAAAATATATAGCAAAGTAAATCAAATAAATGAGATTTTAATAATATTTTCTCTTTAATTATAATTAAAAATTTACTGCATATAATTTAGTTATTGACGCGTTGGTTGGTTTTATGAAACGTGATTATTTAACAGAAAAAAATATATTCTAATTATAAAATATAATCGAATCGAACCGAACCGAACCGAGTATTGACCGACAAAAGGGGTAGCCAGGCTGGCAAAGGGCCGGCTGTGTTACCGTGGGAGCATTCCCACAGTAAGTAACACGTACCACGCCAGCCAATAATAAATACTCATTCAAGCTTAAACCTTTTCTCTTTGCCTTTTTATCCTGGAAATATTGAAACCCAGGATCTTGGATCTTTCAACCCATCTTCTTTTGACTTGGTTCTTCATTTCTCTTTAGATCTACGTTTCCTTTAATTGACTAAAAAATTCCATATTTTTTCTCTTTTTACTTACTTTTCTAAGTTCGATCTTTTTAATCTTTCGGTTCCATTTGGATTCAGTTCGATCGGGGAAAAAAAACTTGAATTCTCTCTTTCTGATACTCTAGACTCGTTAATTTTGGGTTTAATCGAAAAATAGGAAGGAGAATCAGACGTCGAACAGTGGGTATTGATGAAATTAGGGTAAATAAATTGGGGAATTTTTGGGGTGGTTGGCTATGCAGATGGAAAGGGAGAGGCGGACTAGCATTATTAATGGGAACTACAGTTGTCATTCGAATGGGAAGTATAGTGGATTTTGCAATGATTACAGTGTTTCGGGGAATGGAAAACCTCAAAGTTTATCCACTTCTTCGTTACCCGGTGCCGGTTTTATCGAACATCCAGTTTCCCGGTTCGACACCCTTGCCGGTGTAGCCATCAAGTACGGCGTTGAGGTAATCAATCAAAATCTATCCATCCTTGTTTTAATTATTTAGTGTTGTTTTTGTCTCCTTATAAATGGACTTGCTTGTATAATTTTGGGAAATTAGTTGAGGAAATTGAGCAGTGTTAACCTAGAAGTTATATCTAATTATTTGAGTGTTTTATTGACAATTGTTGTTGTTATGGGTTTGCAATCTTCAGGTAGCTGACATAAAAAAGATGAATGGTCTGGTTACTGATCGTCAAATGTTTGCTCTTAAGACGCTTCAGATCCCTTTACCAGGGCGACATACGCCGTCGCCTTGCTTGTCAAATGGTTCCGAAACATCAGGGTATTATATCTTCTTTAACTTAAGAATTTTAATTAAACTCTCTTAACTTATGCATGAAGATGGTTTCTATTTTGCAAGTTTTGAAGTTATACTTGTCCAACACAGTATTCTTGTTTGAATAAGTTGGAATTTGCGTGTAAAGATTACCATCCGACTGTTAATCACGTCTAAGTAGGTGCCTTTTGGAATATTTCCTTTTCTCGGCAGCAGTTTAATTTTCCTTAAGAATGGATATAGTTCTAGTCTCGAGGGAAGGTATCCTGAAGCTTAAGACTTGCTAAATTTTGCGAGGAAACATTTGTGTGGGACTTCGAGAGTTTATCTCAGATCGAGTTTTAAGTGGTTTGGTGTTGGATGGCTCTCTGCATTATTGTTCCCCCAAGTCTCTGCAATAGGGTTCAGAGCTTTTATGTGATGCTGTAATAATCATGGCATAGGTAGCAATGAGCTGCAAAGTGTATACTAATGTATCTCTTGGTGGAGATGCTAAATGTATATACTTGGAATGTTGTTTTTCAATTAAACTCACTATGTCTGCCAACTGTTTGCAGAGAAAGCAGTGCCAGCCAAAACTCAGGTCCAGATTTGCCTCCCGGTTTGCGTGACTCATTCCAGTCATTAAGACTGAAAACTCCTCCTCGAAGGGTCTCCCCGGCAATGAACTCGTTACAAGGTTACTATGGCCTTAGACCGTCACAAAAAAGTGTGTCATCTGAAGGTTTTGAGATGGCTGTATACAGAAAAGGAGAATCTCGTTATCTGGAGGATGGTCCATCACTCAAACTGTCCTCTTATTCCGATCCACCTTTGAGGCTTCAACGGAAGTGTAGAAGCGTGACCAATGGATTTTATGACGAGAATGGTGAAATCACAGCAGATATCCTTTCCGCCGGAGAAGCTAAAATCGGTGATCCTGATAAATCAAATGACAAACTGATGCGGAGACGGCAGAAATCCGAGTCCGACTTCACCGCCCGCACCCCTGAAAGGCTAATGACAGAGGATAACAACAACAGTGGGGGATTTTCAACAATAACAGGGAAATTCTTGGCACAAAGATCCAAAGCAGCAACTCGCACTAATTCAGGAGCCGATGCAGAGTTATTTGGGTTCAACACCGCACCAACAGGCCTCGGAGATGGTTATGTGGTCGATGAATTTGCTACGGTGAGGAAGTCATCGAGCACATCAAGTTTTCAAGATCAGGACAATGGTAGTCTGTCATCCCTCTGGGCAGCATCCAAATGGAACTTGAAGCCTGATTTACAAGCTCTTTCAACCGTAAGCATTACAATGCCAATGTTCGATGGATTGCCAAAGCCAATATCTGCGCGTAAAAGCAAAGCGGCACTTGATTAAAACTACGTTCCGTCGCCTGCATATATTACCAAATTTTGACTGCAAAATTCGTGAGGCCGCCATTGCTAGATCTTCGAGGAGTTTATTATACTGATACAGAAATGGACAATAAGGGTTAAAGACAATGAAGTCCGATGACACATTAGCTTATTTTCTGCTAGTTTATTTGAATTCATATACATATATGCACGACTTTGTGTAATATATTGTTCCACATTTGACCAATTTTTCATTCAATGTTCCAGACAGATTTACATTTTCCTTCACTGTCCAATCATTGTGCAATGTTAAATTGGGTTTTAATAATAAAGTAATGAATATTCGAATCCATGCTTTTGTTTCTTTTTAAAGAGAAGAAAAAAGGCATAGGCCTTAACAGTACTTATTGGACCACTTGTCGTTGACTAAATAAAAAAGACTAAAGTTATCTCTGAATAGAACTGCTCATTACGCGTTTAAACGAAGAGTGGATTCCAAATTTCATTGGTTCTTGTCATTGAAACTTAAAATTTTCTTAATTTAATAACTAAATCTTAAATTAATCCTATTTTGATCACTCTGTAATTAAATAGCGGGTGACATTACAAGATAGAAAATGATTTCGTAGAGGAAATAGCTGCTAGTTCAATGAAATCCAGGTGAAACAAAAGTTAGATTCGGACTAAGTGATCAAAATAATATTACCTAAAAATTTTGAGGTCTTGTGAATATCAACACGACAATCGACGTAGTTAAAATCTGAATTTATGTCTATATATATATATATATATTTGAAAGTGTGTTTTGTATAGTATTATTGATCACACATACAAAATAAGACAAGGATAAATATGTTAATGCGAGGATAAAGTTCATGCAAGCAATAGAAAGTAACATAGTGGAGAATATTAATATAAGTTACCCGCACACAATTAAACTCAAAATTTGCTACCGAAACATTTGCCAACAGTTTTAACACTGCAAAGCAACATCAGGAATGCAAAAACCAAAACCAGACTTAACAAAACTCCATTACGGCCTTGTAAGCTCAAACTACTCGACCAAAAGTAAATCCACATACCATAATACCATGAATAACACATTTAGAACAGTGATGTTCCCTTCCCCTTCTTGTCTCCACCAATCTCAAAGTGTTTGCACCTCTGCAAAAACCGGTAACAAACAAACCAAAAATTAGCTCATCGAAGAGCATAAATAAGTTAGGCAAGGGGTTTCCGGTAAGCCGACCTTGATCGGATGCTGCGAAACATGCTTGCAGCCCTGGCATTGCAGCCTTAGCACAATCTTCTTGGTGGTCTTTGCCTGTTCAACGGATACACACATTCGTAAATATTACATATGCAAAGCCTTGGAGTCTCAAGCCAATAAAACATGAAATATACAAGCAAGGGATAAGGTTCTTGATATTTTCATGGACTAATTACACCAAACATCCCGAAATATAAACTAGATTTTAGATGGTCTTTAAACTTTAAAATGTTTTAATTGAATCCTCAAAATATCATTTCGTAATCTTAGCATTCAAATTAAATGTTAAACGCCAACTTAGGGGCTGATTTTACATTGCTTTTGAATAATACTTTTGGATTATTTGGTGATTTTAAGTGTTAAGTTTTATTGTCAAAAAAGTATTTTTGAGAAGATAAATTATCATTTCAGATATGATGTTGTATGTTAATATATATATATATATATTTAAATTCTTTAATATTATAATATTTAAAATGTATCAACATAAAATTATGATGAAAATGTAAAAATATATATTTTCTATAAAAAATAAACAAATTTGTAATGACTGTGTTCCAAGAAAACATATATAAAATCTAGAATAATTTTTAACTAAAAAAATTGATATGATGAGATATAAATTTTTTAAACCCACATATAATTTATTAATCATATAATTATGTCTTGATAAAAAAAATTATGAGTTTATAAATTGTAAAACTAACATAAATAAGATAAGATTAAAATTGTAATTTTAGTTTCAGAAGTACTTTTCAAACGTAAAAGTTGAAATTTTTAACTTTTACATTTTGGTTAACAAGTGTTCTTTCAAAAACATTTTTGAAAAGCAATGGTAAACGGGGGCTAAATCTGACATGGAAAATACATAAAACATGTTAATCGAATTATTAATAAATGTGTGATTACTACGAAGACAACATGTTAAAAAACAATTTTGAATATGCTATGTATCATATTCGAGCGGACATTTTTAAATAGATGACCTAATTGATATGACGTTTATAATTCGAGAACTTGAAGAGATTTGAATGGACGTGTGATGCAAACCTTATTTTCCTCGCATAACTAATACCCATCCATGGAATAAAAGATAAGCAACACAAAGAATTACCTTCTTGTGGAACACTGGTTTGGTTTGGCCACCGTAACCGGATTGTTTGCGATCGTAACGACGCTTCCTTGTGCTGCCAAGCTATCCTTACCCTTTTTTATATTGCGTGACCTTGTGCAAAGTGTGCTTCCTGCATTCTTTGCTCTTGCAGTTAAGTCTTCTTGGTCTTAGGCACGTTCACCTTCAAACAAACAAAAAAAGCAACAAATATATAACAAGCATTTCCTCAAACACTTCACCGACAACAATTAACAAGCAGTAGTGCCAACAAAAAGAATTAACCCTCACATTGCAATCTCATCACATATCTTATAAACCAACGGTTATTATCATTAATTCAAGACTAGTTTCAGATTCCAGAGCAAAATCTATATCATTTGAGCTGATTTCTTGAAAATAAACATTTTTTCAAGTAAACGACCCTAAAATCTGGGAAATATTACACTAAACATAGAGAGACGAATATGATTTCACCATGGCTGACGCTGAAAGGCGAGAAGCTTGAGTTTTGTGTCGTCGGCTGCCAATCTGACCTAACAAATTGGGTTAGGGATTGGATTGGGGCTAAAAAATAAAAATGAATAAAAGTAAGAACGCATTGTTGTTATGATCCAACCCAGATTTATCTTTAGCAGCCCAATTACTTTTGGACGTATCTAAGAATTAGAAGCCTCTCTATCATCAATTTCAACCCTAGAATAAGTTATTTTTATGGGTAAACTGCATTGTAATAACTACCCTTTAGGTTGGGTATCCATCTTAGCATTAATCTTTATAATGTCTTAGTTTTAGAATTGAACTTAAGTTTACACTTCAATTAAGACATCGAGTCATTAAATCATTAACAATGAGATGATATAATAGATTAATATTGACGTGAAAATTGATGTGTTGATATGGAAGTCATTTTTTTATTCCACATAATCTTTATCATCATCAAAATTAGTGTTTTTTTGCACATTTTTAATTATCTCTATAAATCGTCATTTCCTAAAGTCGTTTACGATCATTTTAGATACTGATAAATTCATCTCGTCGTCTTTTCCACTTTTTCGATTTAAATTTTCTCATAATCTTTTTAAAACTCATGGGGAAAGAAGATGAAGAATTTATCATTTTTTTAGGTTTAAAAGTTTTCTTGGGTTTGATGGTTTGGGGTTGTTTGTTTGAAACTTATAATTGTGAGAAGTATCCTTTTGAGAATACGAACAACATACTTATAAATTAGTCTCATCAGACGATCATTTGAGGAGATTATAGAATTAAAAAGTCAAATGTTTAGATGGATTTTTATCTATTTTGAGTGAACCGAGAAGAAGAAAGATGAGTGGAATGCAAACGTTTTGATATCAATCTTATCATAACGATAATTGATGACGGGAAATGTTTAACCAATAACGATGACCGGAGAAGTTGACAATTTTCTACATGATAATAAAGAAGAAACGATCGCGTATCGTTAATGGTTTAAAAAACATAATATCTTAATTAAAATATTTAAAATTCCAATGCAAATATATACATAACCTAATTTTTTGTATCGATTATATTTGATGCGGATTAAGTCTCAACTCACCTACTTTGCTTTTCAAAAAGACGTCCGAATATACTATAGGGTATAATGAATAAATAAGTTATCTGGGCGTGGAAGTCTTGCCATATGGTACCTCTAGATGCTAACAATACCCAAAACAAAGGCAACAACGATTGAGACGTGGATAAGATGGATAACTCTGAGTTCAGAGTAATAAATTGAATGATAATGTAGGATGTATCTGTAGTTGTTGGCCAAACAAAAGGACATAGTGTTTTTGGTTACACTTCTATATCAAAATGATAGCTCTATCATGTTACATTTGTTTATCTTTTTAAAATTTGTATTTAAAATAATCGATCAAGTAGCCTCAGTGATAAAAATGAATGTTGTTCTTCCTATAGATCCTATGTGCGAGCAATTACATCTGCAAGTATATAAACGTCGTCAATTAGTTAAGAAAGTTCTGGATAAATATTACATTATAATCACCCTAAATTATTCAAAAATGTATTTAAAAAATAGTAAAATTCGTTTTTTAAAAAATATTGAAGTCATAAGTAAAAAATGAAGTTGTGGAAGAAAAAGAAAATATCAAACAATGAAGTTGGTATCACCAAATCCATTGTTTTGCATTAAAGTTTTCGTAATAAAAAAATAAAAACGGATAATTAAATAAATGAAATATATTTAATTATCCGTTTTTATGATTTTAAGCGAGTTTAAATTCATATTTGTTGAGATGTTGTAATAAGAAGCATATTAACCGATTTAAAACTTAATTTATTTTATATCAATCTTTATTATAAATGAAATATATTAATCACTATAACCATAAATGTTTAAAATATTAGTCGATTAATTCAAATCGAATATTGTAGAAGCTTATTATAAGAGTGATACTCCTAGTTTAATTTACTTCATTTATAATATTAAAATTTAAATCTTAAACCTTATTTAAAAGACCTAACGTTTTTTCTCATTAGGATGAGATTCAAAATATTAATAAATAATTTATTTGACTGTGATTTAAAGTATAAAGATTTATATCAAAATGTGTTATGTAATGATAAAACACGTTATATTATTGATGGAAAAAAATTATGTATGAACTTTAAAGATAATATTGATAGAGAGATTATCATAAATTCTGAACATAAATAAAATACCAAAAAATAATATAAGAATTACAAATCTTAAGGGCCTATTTAGTATATTTTCCAATATAAAAATAAATTATTAAATATAAATTTTAAAATCTATCAAGTCACATTAATTATTAAAACGAAAATTATTAATGGTGAATCTAAAAACATTATTCAATGTGGGCATATATGTATTAATAACATAATATTTTAACATAAATTTTTTATTTGAAAAAAATTAGTTGACCCTATTTTCATATGTAATGGGGTGAGGGGGAGATAGGATAGTAGGCTGCCCCAACGCAGGTTGAGAGCAGCTTCCGTGGAAGACCTCTAGCAGTTAGGATTATGAATTGCCCAACACAAATAAATTTTCAATGTGGACATTTTAAGTGAAATGAACCGCTAATTTAAATAAATTTAAATTTCAAGGTGAACACGTATCTATCTAACACGTATCCACTTAAAGAATACATACATCTAACACTTAATATTATTCGCTCTAAAGGTTTTGAATTTGAGTAATCGTTTATATATATACACACACGTAATAAATGATCAATAGATTATTTTCTCTCTTAAATTCTCTCCCCAATGTTAGGTGAAAGAAAAGGAGACAACCGAAGCTGACCGCTAACGTTTGAACCACACAAGCCAGTACCTCAACTACTCTGGTAAATTAACTAAATCGACGGCAAGTGCTTCACGTAGGAATCACGTGCCACACGCAACTGCCCAATCAAACAAGAAAACGAGGAGAAAATTGAGAAAGAAAAGAACTGAATTATATACAATTCTAGAAGACATTGACCCCTTTTTTTCCATTGCTAATTTTACACAAAAGGCCCAAACCGGCTCACTTTAGCAAAACATATGTAGTTACATCTAGCGTGCGCATCAGACATGAAAAAAAGGTAAAAAATAGAAATTATTTTTGTACATGAACCATAAATAGACTCTAACATGAACTACATAAAAAAAATTCATAGTGTAATCTTATGATTCCTCTCTAACAATCCTTCTAGCACGATTCTCTTCTTGTATTCTTCCGAGTCCAAATCCGAAATATTCGAATCCGATTCAATTTTTATACTGTTATCGTTAACCGCGGTTCGATAGTGAAAATAAAACCAAGCTGAGGTACAAAGAACTGCACATAAACGACCCCAAAGTAACATTATTACCAGTGTCACCATAATGATAGACAAACCCGTGACGGGGTCGAATTTTTTAACCACATCATTGTTCTTCCGTTTGATTTGCTTCGAGTTGACCCGATCATGAATCCGGGGATTCTCCGCCCGTTTTCCGCGGTCGAGGACTGGTAACGAAACCGTGTAGGATAACTTGGGTTGTGTTTGCTGGTTTGGATTCGACTTAACGGTCGGTGAACCCGGAAGACTTGAACCGGTTCTCATCAGGTTTGAATTTTTCCTGTTCTCGATGGGAATATTCGGTTTAGGTCCCTGCAAAACAGTAAAATCCAAAATTAAGCTCTCAAACAGTTGTAAGAGACGACACATATCGCCTTTTGGCCTGCAATATGATGTAAATAAAAAAATAAACTTCAGCTAAAAAAAAAGCTGAGTAATTTCACTATTTCCAACGCTTTTCGACTAACCTCTGTAAGCGACGCCGTTTGTTGTTGATCAGCTTTGGAATTTTGCCGCGAAGGGGTCTTCTTCTTTATCAGCTTCGACGGCGTACAGCTTTCGCCGCCGGAGACTGTCTTGTTGTCGGAGTTATCGAAGGGCACAGTTTTGGTACGGGACTTCCTTCCGGTAAAACAAAGCATCGGGCAAGACGGCGACCGTGTCTTGTTCCGGTTACCGGTTTTGATGGGCTTTTCCGGCCGGTTTTTCATGCCGGAAAACCCGAAACAACCTAGAAAACGACTGGTTTTGGGAGTTTTCTTGGGGGGTTCGGCCATGGAAGACATGGGGAAGAGGAGTCGGCATGGAGGACTTTGAAATACCCGAATGGCTGGGCCTCTCACGCTATAACTAAATAATATTAATGTTAACTGTTTCATTTATTAAAAATGTATTAATTAAAAGATATTAAAAGAATATAATTATTTTAATTTTACAGAGTAACTTAGGTTTGAATTTGATTTGGATGTTGTTGTTCTTACACGTTTTCACCTTGTCCTAAGCTTTCACCAAGTCCACGCGCTACTGTTGCCAGCTTTCTTAATAAACTAATACAAATTACATATACAACAAGCCATGCTAATTTATTTAATAGTTAATTACTTTATTTTCATGGATAACAATGAGGATAAAATAATTTTTAAACGATAACTATATATTAACGGTGGAATTTTTTTTTGAATTAATTACTGGTATCCGATCTACTGACCGATTAATTCAGATTGGGTGGAAAAATTGATTTCTGGTTCCAAATTCGAGTTCATATCGTCTTTGAGTTAATTTAGGATTTAGTTTTTTTGGATAAGCTTGGTCTAAAGGATGGAATTTAATCTCATATTTATGTCCAGGCTTAGAATTAGGCACGATTGATGAACTTAAAAAATTAGTGTTCACAATTGTTTCTCTTTGCTCATTAATGAAAAAGAAAAGTAAGATATAAATTAAAGTATAGCGAATTTTACCTAAATAAATTTAAATTTTTAAGAATACGATTTACTATTTCATACATGAAAATATAAGATTTAAATATAATATTCCATTTCTTTTTATTTAAAGAGGTTAATTTTTTTAAAGATGATATACTCCTCTGTAACCAAGATTGTTGATAATAACATATCCTTATATTCTAAATTGAGGTATTTTAAAATATTTTAATGTTAAAATTCTTCAAAAATTTAAAATGTTACGTCTAAAATAACATTTATTAATTTCTTATTCAAAAAATCCAACCATAAATGCCGAGCTTGATATAAATAATGATCAATAAGTTATATTGCGGATTGACTTAAAAAGCTAAGTCTTCGTAAAATAAAATATCAAAACTATAAACTGACACAAAAATCAGCATTTAAATTTTATATCAAAGGGTTTTCTCTTTTTTACCTTAGACGTCGGTGGTTTTTCTCTTCATTTATGATTGATAAGCGAAGATATTTCTTTTTTAAATCTTGATGTCGTCGTTGATATTTTTTGTTTCCTCTTTATTTTTTCATATTATGTCTTTAATTTTATCTTTTTTTAGTGATTTTCTTGCGTATTCTTGATAAACCAACGTTTATATATAGATGTAGGAGGATCTGTTTGTGAAGTATTCTCAAGATTGAATTTGATATTCGTCATGACTGATCAAGATGACGTTTTATTTGTTATTATGTCTATCTTTTCAATTTTGGACCATCGAATTGAATTTGGATATGCGATTTATGTTCATGGATTGTTTTTGTGTTGCTCGACTCTGATTTGTGATTTTTCGATGATCTTTCAATATCTTCATCCCCTTTTGTGATTCATTTATTGATACGGACAAATTTATTTGTATATATATTTTGTTCGGTTTTTTGATTAGGTTTTTAACTTTTTCCTTATATGGTTTTCGTGATCTTAAGTAGTTAGTTTTTATGTGATTATAGAAAAATATCTTAATTATATATTTAATTTATGATTATAAGTGTGAAATTTCATTTTAATTCTAAATATTTCATCTTTTTAATAATACCAACGTATTCTATTAAAAAGAAAACTAACAAAAAAACAGAATTACATGTCCCAAATTCAACTTAATTAATGAGATAACCCCGGTATAGGCTAGATAGGTAATTTACCACATGATTAATGAGTTTTTTAACTAATGAATTGCATATTAAGGATTGCATTAATTTAGAAGCTAAACAATTAAGCATGAATGTTTTTTTTCTTCCTTTTTCTTAGTCGTAATTAGTCTCTTTTCTTCTTTAACTTTGTGATCGGTTACGACAACAGTCTTAATATTAGTCATCGACTATCGGTATTTATTGTTTTTCTTTTGTTTTATTATATCTTTTTTTAATAATTATGCCTTAATGACACATATTCTTCTGTCTTTATGAGACATTTTTCTTTATCTTTATAGCATGTTTTCGGTCATTTGGTTGCTGTTTTCGTTTATTTTTTTTTCAGGGCTGTATTTGACATCGCCACTACTGAACAAGATGACACTTATTTGATATCATGCTGCTCTTCCCTACTTTGGACTCTCATATTGAATTTGGATACACGATTTGTGTTCGTGGATAGTATTTTCACTTCGTTAGATTCTAATTTATAGTTTAATATGTCTTTCAATAGCTTCATCTCCTTTTGTAGTTCGTTTGTCGATGCAATCATATATGTTCATATCTATTTTTGTTTGAGTTTATTTGGTTAGATTTTTTAACCAGTTCCTTGTAAGATCACTGTAATTTTCTCATCTTTAGAAAAATATATTTAATATGCGTTTAGTTTACGGTTGTGATTGTAAACCTTAATTATAATTTGAATATTTTATATTTTTAATAAAATTAGCGGATTTTATTATTCTAATAATAATAATAATAAATGTGTATGATTTTATCCTAAAGAAAATTTAAACTCCATACGTTTGTGAAATATACTTTATATATATGGAAGCTTTTGAGAAATTTTCCACAAAGGTTATTTGAATGGAATGTATAGGAAAACTATGAGATGTATTTTGTTAATGTCTAACGAAAATGTAGCTTAATCCGGCGACGTTTTCCCGATTTATGAAATCGTGATGACATGCAAAAGTAAATTTATTCCGTTGTTATGATATTTATCAAAATTTTGTATATTTTTAAGATCATTGAATAAATAAAAAATATAATTAAAATTTAATAATAAAAATTTATATAAAAATAAATCATTATTAAATTTAAAAACTTTAATCAATATCACAATATTTAATTAATCCAAATAATATGTAAAATTTGAACATTTTATAATGTACAAATAAATCTTCACTATATATATATATAATCACATGCTAAATCAAGAATTTTGAGACGTACATGACGAGTACAGTTCAAGGTATACCGTATCCACCCTTTTTTATTTCTCCACGTTCAATTACTTTTATGAGATCGACGGCCTTGATTCAATAATAATATTCGAAAAAAGTATTAGATTTCAAATTCAATTTCAAATTTATTTTAATTTTAATTTAAAGAGTGATATTCAACGAAACATGAATAAGACTGCTCATTGTATGAATAAACTATATTTATTATATTCAAATCGTTATATTTAAACAGTGAGGACTAAATTTTAAAATATTATATGTAAATGTTAATATTTCATGGTTATATCAATCAACAAGATAGATCAGGAGAGGGTTAGCTATAAGTCGGGTGGTCGTTTCTCTTCAAAAATTTAAATTATCATATATTTTATATATTTCTTTATATTATATATTAAAAATATATTTTCGTTCATCTTCAAAATTTTAGAAATTGTCCCTTAAAATTTTAAGTTAGTTTCATCCCACGTTACATTAATATTTCATTTACATAAACTTTTATATGTAAATGATTCATATAGTGTTTGTATTTTTCTTTTCTTTTTTTCGTTTATGCCATGTTTAATTTGTATATTGTTTTAATTATTTTAATTTATGGAATATAATTAATTCCACGTTGAAAAATAAATAAATCTAATGTAGAGTAGCTAGGGTACCCTGTCCTATCTTCCTCCTCATTTATATAGAGTTGCCTAATATTTAATCATTAAATAAAAAATTCATTAACACCGTCGTTTAAAAAATTAAAAATATAAATTTAATCATTTTTAATAATTAAAATTCCCTCCTAATAACATCATTAATCAAATTATTTTTTCAAATATCAATGTGTTTCAATTGTTTTGGACTTTTAGATATTTTTTTAGCCTATTTCAAATTTTCTAATAAAATATATAGAGTTAATTGCATTATATATCTTTAAACTATGATTCTCATTGTAAATTAATTTTTAAATATTTTAATTTCATCCGTAAACTATGACATTCGTTCTATATTAGTCCCAAAACCTTTAAATATCCTAATTTCATCTCGAACCTTTGAGTGATTTAGGGGATATCATTGAAATATTCAAAAGTTTGAGGATCGATTTAGAATGAGAATCATAGTCTAATAATATATTTGGAATGATCAAAAGTTTAAGAGTCAATTTCAAATGAAAGTCATGATTTGAGAAAATGTGGTACAATTAACTCAAATATAAATTAAACACATTTTTAGAATCTTGCAAATGATTATTTGGGTTAATAACTTAGCAATATTTCAAATATTAATGTATTATTATGAAGCAAATTATATAAAACTAATATAAAATAATAAAGAGATTAACATAAGAATTTTCAGTTTCAATTTATTTTATTTAAATTGTATTATACACGGGAACTATATCTAAAACTATTCTAAGTTAAATCTGAATATATTTATATTATCAGTCGGTCCATTCAAATATATTTCGATCTAAATCTCTATTAAATTTGATGTGTCTATCTATAAATGATTTTTCAAGTCAAAAGCGTGGATCCATGAATTTCACGTGAGGATTATTTATAAATTAACGAATTAATAAAATATCTTAAAATGTCAATAAATCTTAGTAATTGAAGCACAAATATCTGACCCAACGAAAAAGAAAAAGATTTTTAAGGATTATGAAACTAGATTGTTCTGTGTTAAAAGTTTGAAAAAAATTGCTGGCACGTTTGGTAATATGTTTTTTTTTGTTTTTTTTATATAAACGTCTAGTTTTATTAAAATTAGAAAATATTTCAAATTACAATAAAGATTTACAAATATAATCGTAAACTAAATACATAACCAAGACATTTCTATGTAATCATTGAAACACGAAATTAGCCAATTAATATCGTACAAGAATCATGTAAAAAAGTTAAAAAAACCCAACAAAAAACCACGACAAAAACGATAGATACAAATCGATTTGATTATATCGACAAACGAACCATAAAAGGGATCAAACTTTAAAGGATCACTGACAAACTCCAAATTAAAATCGAGCGACGTGAAGAAATTATCCACGAACGCAAACAAAAGACATAATATAAAAAAATAAAAGAAAAACAAAAAATACATGTAATCGATATTAAATGTCCGATCAAGGATATAGGTAATCGAACTATTAAAAGACCATTGACAAATCATAAATTAAAGTCGAGCGACATGAAAAAATTATCTATAAAAACAAACAAAAGATGTGATATAAAAAACAAAAAAAAAATACATGTAATCAATATTAAATTTCCGGCTCAAAGATGCATTAATGCCCTGTAGTTTTTTTATTGACTGAAAATAGAGAAATTAAACCAATTAAACTTTAGATTTGAAAATTTAAATCAATTAAGCCGTCAAACTAAATTTTTAAGTAATTAAGCCTTTTGATGAGTTTTGACCATTGAATCTTTGTTCTTCTAGAAATATTACTATCGTTTGACACGCTATATGCAATTTTTTCAAGAAAATTAAAAAAAATTAAAATTCTAAAAAAATCAATATTTATGAAAAATAATAAATTCTAGATATTTGACTTGGCAATATTTTGACGTGGCCGTGATGCTAATTGGTTTAAAATAATTGTTGATTAGTAATTTTAATTAGTAAACAATGACGTCACTTGCACTAAATTTCTTTTGTTTTTAATGGATTTTTTTCAATAAAATAATTTTAAATACAAAATACGCAGATTCTACAATCTACTAGTTTTGGGCAATTCCCCAAAACACGATAGAAGCCGCCAAGTAGATTTGGATTAAGGATTGTGATTTACCCTTTTGGTATTATTATTGGTTAAATTTCTTCATTAGTCCCTGTGTTAAACTTATGTTGTTAGTTTAGTTCATATATTGTAATTTGATTAATATATATATATATATATATATATATAGGTTAAACTACACGTTTAGTACCCTATTTATTACTTTTATTTCATTTTGATCACCCAACTATTTTTCTTTTTTTCAAAATTATACCTTGTGTTACATTTTGATTTTATTTTGGTTACCCGCTGTTAAAAAACTAACATAAATGTTAGCGTGACATTTATTATTATTTTTCAATGATTACAAGACATTATCTTAAGGTGACATGCCAACTTCACCGTTATTGTTTTAACGGATGGTGATTAAAATGAAACCAAAACTAAACGTTAGATATGATTTTGAAAAAATAGTTAGGTGACCAAAAATAAAATAAATGTAATAGTTGGGATAATAAACGTGTAGCTTACCCATATATATTATAATTTCATAATTTTCATATTGACTTAAATGACATATGATTACATTTTTCAAATTTTATAATTTTAGTTTCGATTCAAATGATACATGATTTAAATATAACTAAATCATATAAATTTAAAATAATTAAATTAGTGAGCATAAATTAAATTGAAAATTATGAATAATAGTAAAATTAATATCAAATTTGAATTAATAAATTTAAAAATCTTACTATTTAAGTAGAAATAAAATTTAAAAATATATAAATTAATATAATTAAATTATAATATAAAAAAATTAAATCTACAACTTCGAATCCCTATGGGCCTTTGTCACGCCGAATCCCTTCGTAATGGATCCGAAAAGCTTTGTCATTGAAACCAAAGTTGGAAACCCTAATATCCATTAAAAACCCAATCCCAACAGAGCACAATCCTCGACCAAGTGCCCAAATTTGGTAAAAGAAAGGCCTTCCCCATTACGTCTTTCTTCGGTTTTGTGTCTCCGATCGGAAAGCAAGGGCATTAAACCATTAAACAGATCGAAGAAGAAGAGTCTCAGTAGGGGGATTTTGTTGGCCGATAGCTTTTGCTCTAATGGCTTCTCTTTTCAACAGATTCCAAGATGTAAGTACTCTTTTTCTCTTTTTCAACAATCTTTCATTTTTCTTCATCTTAAGAGCCTCAAGTTTTTCATTTGTGAAATTGGGTAATGGAGAATTAAAGGTGGGGTTTTGAAACTAAGGCCATTTTCTCTATTGATATTCCAGGCTGTTAGAGTCCTTGCAAAGAGCCCCACTTTTGCTAAGTATAGAAGGAAACTCCAATTTGAAGATGACATTAACCTCCTCTTCATGTATACCAGGTTGATGATGATATATCATTCAATATCGTTGCCTATTTTATGTGACATATTGAATCTTAGATTCTTTGATGTTGTTTGGTTGTGCAATGTGTAGTTACAATCGTTTGGGAAAAGATGCCGAAGAGGCCGATGCCGAGGATATTATCGACATGGCTAGTAAGGCCTCTTTTGCTGACCAACTGACGCTAGTGCAGGAAAATGTTCATGATCAAATTAAGAACTTTTGCACTGCTATGGATGGAATTATTCTTCCTGGTAGTGGTGAGTAAATTCGTAGTTTATTTTCTATGTATCATCTATGGGATGTTTGGTACCTCGGCCTTCTCACTAATCGTGTGATCTAACTACTTTGTTGATGAAATTTGCCTTCTACTGTTTATGGTCGATATCTTATTGTATTGCAACTTTAATGTGATGATTATCAGTTTCGGAACTTAAAATGTGAATTAGTTTTAGGACCGTCTTTGCTAGATTCAGTTGTTGTGTGGATTCTGGGTTGGCAACTGTTGGTGAGTTACAAGATAGGAGTGTATACTCGTAGAGGAACCATTTCTTTTCTTTATTACTTTCGAGATAAGGTTTTGTTTCTTCCTTTTTGTTTAAGATAATTGCTATATGTGGAAACAAAATACATTAAACATGGATCTTTACTATTTTGAGAAGATTAACTGCTCTTATATATGATAATATGAAATACCAACATTTTAAGCAAACTTCATTTTGATTCTAAATTTTGATCGATTTGTATGGGAACGGAATAAGCAACAAGTAGTTGGTATATGAATCGTCTGATCTGTTGTATGACTTGTGTTATATATGCCTTTGCTCTCAAATTTCAAACTTGCATAAGTCATAATAGAGATAAATGGAAGACCATGCCTCTGATAATTTCTTTCTCGGACCTAACTATTGACGATGATTCAGTGCAGCTGTTCCCGAGAAAAGACCGGTAAAACGTGCTGAACTCTCACAGAGGTTGAAGGATTCTATTGGCTACTCGCTTGATGTCAAACCATCTCAAATACCCCAAGGTGAAGCTGGCCAAGGTTTATATTTGAATGGTGAAGCTAATGTCGGTGCTGTAATTGCCTTATACCCTGGTGTTATATACACTCCAGCTTATTATCAGTATGTTCGTGGATACACAAGACTTGGTGCACGAAATAGATATTTGATCACAAGATATGATGGGACCGTTATCGATGCCCAACCTTGGGGATATGGGGGTGAAACACGTGAAATGTTCGATGGCTCAACAATGCTAGATACGAGGCCCAACACGGAAATGGTTGGTAAGCCTTTGGAAAATTCACAGGTGAAATTTGATGGTGAAGTTTTGGAGCGTAGAAATCCTTTAGCTTTGGCCCATTTTGCCAATAATCCTTCAAAAGAAACGCTGCCGAATGTGATGGTTTGCCCATATGACTTCCCATTGACCGAAATAGACATGAGAGCTTATATTCCAAATATAGCATTCGGAAATGCAGAAGAAGCAAATGCGAGGAAATCAGACGGCTCTTGGTTTACATGGGGTTCGAGAAGCAGTCCATCAGATGACTTGAATGTTCCTGTTCTAAAGACTCTTGTTCTGGTGGCTACTACTGCACTTCATGATGAAGAAGTGCTGTTGCATAGACCAACGTGGTATACTTCTGCTGACGAAGAGGAGGATTGAAGGAGATGGAGATTCGGTATTTTGAATCTAAGACAGCTAAAATCAAAGGCAGGTTAGCGTAGATTGTATGGCGTAAAAATTGCTTTGAACCATGTAGCTAATTTTCAACTCTACATATGACATTGAATGTAATAATACTATATTTCTCGAAAAAATTTCAACACATTATACGACAGAATGTTATATTCTATGTCGATAATCGAATGATTCACTTTTTCAAGATATATATAAGAAGGAAATTGATGCTTACTGACTGGGGTTATGTTTCGTTAAATCAGTGGTTCCTCCGAGATATCGGAATTTCTTTGTTGCTGGTACCTATTGAAGGCATAGGAGGCATGAGAAATAAGCGTGTCGGGCTCTTAACATTCTCCTCCTTCCTGGATTGCCCCGCAATCTGCCATTCCCAGCCCACATGTTCTGTATTCTGCAAGTCGATCTGGGACACTCCGGCCAGTGCCACGCACCATGTTATACCATCGAGGAAAGTTGTGTTTCCTTCTGGAGGTGAAAGGCTCATCACCTAATCGCTGCATCCACCTTCTCTCGCAGCGACATTTCCATTGTCAGAACTACCAGCAGATGAGCAAAGAAGAAGAAGAAACTGACTCTAACATGAAACAAGAAAAAAGAGGAGCCAATAATGAAAGTGTAGCAGCAAAGCAAGCATTAAAGGAAACGTACCCAGAAAACAACAGCACGTTGCCATTCACAAGAGGGATTACTCGAGAACCAAAGCCACCTTTGTCATGGTGTAGGTGCTTTCTTCTTTAGCTAACCCTCTTTCACTCCCCCAAGCACCATTGACGAGGACTCTGTGAGAAAGTTACCGTGAACTTAAACGCTTTAAATGTATCTTTAATAGGCGAAATCTATCCATTAATGATGACTCGCTAACACCGTGCTGTAGAGTATCCATCTACTGATCCTGAAAGGATTTGCGTGTGTTTTTTTACAGTGAAGGCGAAATCTATCCACACTGATATCCTTAAACAATAACAGAACTCTATCCGCCAAGTTAATGAAAGACTTGTCTAAGGTACTTATCGAGCGAGTCGATCACGAGTTGAGCAGTGTTTAACTCGTGCTCGTTAAAAAAAATTTATTGTTTGGCTAAACTTATTGCTCGTTAAACTTGTTAAAATTTTGCTGGATTCGTGCTCGTTAAAAATACTTGTTTCTCAACTCGACTCGTTGCTCGTTAAGCTCACTGAATTTTTTACCTTGTATTTTAACTATAGATAAAATCTACTAATACTAGATAGAGCGTAATATAAACATAAATTAACAAATTTAGCCAAAAACTTGTTGAAATGGTGTATGAAACAATTTCAAAGGCTAGACTCCAAAAATAACAATCTACAAATATATCAAACTAACATATTAAAACAAAATAACAATCCACGAATAAATCAAACTAACATATTAAAAACATTTTTGAAAAAAATCAACTACACATAATCAATCATAAAAATAAATAAATCAACATCTCTTCACTCCATTTATTGTCAAATTATAAAGTTACAAAAAAAATTAATAAGCTGCTCACGTACTTATCGAGTCGAATTGGACTTAACTCGTTAAAATCTCAAGTCGAGTCAACCCAAATCAAGTTTTAAACAAATATTAACTGAATCGAGTTCGAATTGCTCGTGATATACTCAACTCATTAATCACCTCTATACTTATCCCTTCCAAAAGGATCAAGGTTAATATTAGACATGCAATTGAAACCATCCTTACATCTGGTTGATAGATTGCATGTTCGAATTGCTTTTTCTTTTAACGGAAGGAATGACAAGATTTTTAAAGTCACAGGGTCTGTCTTCTTCATAGAGGGTCTGCTTCCCTAATGTATAAAAAAACATAAAACAAAACAAAAAGTAAAATTAAAAAAATTAAAACCCACAGAAGCTAACCCTAGAATTAGAACAAACAAAGGGTCAGGACACAAATCCTTGGAAGTTAAACCCAGAAGCCTTGAGCTTTACTCTTTTAGCCAATGTCATTGTTAAGTTACTCAAGAATCAAAAAAGCCTGGACCTGCCCTAGAAAGAAGTTCTTTTCCAGCATCCTTCCCCATCATAACCATGTCTTCATAAGCATATGCACCTTTTCTAGATGTTTCAAGCACTGAAATATACAAATGGAGAAGAAATGACAGTTAAGAGGTTGAAACAAGCGCTCTCATAGCAAGAACAAGATGATTAGAAATGATCATACCACGTGTTCCATCGGGAGAAGCTACTAATCCTTTAAATATGCAGTTACCATCTTCATCTTTGGAAGCATAGCCGGCAATTGGAGTACGGCAAGACCCGTCCAATGTCTCTAGAAAGGCCCTCTCACATGCTACTGCCAGTCGTGTTTCCTCGTGGTTTAATGAAGCTAGGTATTTAGCCTATAAATCGGAACCGGTAAAATCAATGGCAAAACTTCAATTCACAAACATCATGAGCACGGCATGCCACAACATAGCATCCGGTCGTGCCTAGCACCCACACCTAACTCAAGAAGTACTTGAGGCTAAGGAAGGGGTCCCAAGGCTCAAGCATCAGCAACAGCCTAGTGTAGCACCACAACATGGCTTGGAGAAGGCACCAGAGGGTGCATTGCCCTTACAAGCCCACACAGAAAGGTACCCTATCCGCACATCGCATAGGGGTATGCGGGTAGCATACTCTAGAAGGCTCTAGAAGACCTTCAACCAACTCAGCGAGGGATAAACCGACTTAGGACCACACAGGTAGAATACTCTAAAAAGTGGCTCTGCCCTCACTACATATGGCTAGAAATTTGAACTCAGCCATAAATCAAGTAAAAATAAAACATACCATCTTTTCATCATTGCTTCGACATGCAATTCCAATGGCCCCTTGCGCAACAGCTGGAAGCATTTCATCAATTGAAAGAATAGAAGTAACATTTTCTGTCATGCTCAAGCGCCTGAGTCCAGCTAATGCCAATAAAGTTGCTTGAACCGCCCCCTCGGAAAGTTTTCTTAATCGTGTCTGTACATTACCCCGAAAATTATCCTCCACCTACAAAATGGCATAGAAAATTATAACTAATTTAAAATTAAGAAATAATAACGCAATTATGTACGCTTTAATTCTAAGACAACATGCTTTTTCATCAGAGCTGAAATAATGATATTTTAAATCCAACGCAGCATAAGAAATTTCCAATCAACTGCCAGTCAGCTCATACAAGACCAAATGAAAAGTAATATTTCAAAAAAAGTCTCGTAAATGACACTTCTACAAATATAAAAATGCACGACATAGCAAAGTAACTTGCCTTGAGCAATGGATATCTGTGAAGTAGTTGTGACTTTCTTCTAAGTGATGCAGTGCCGACAACACTCCCTGCAGATAGCTCAGCCAAAGAAGATGCACTCAGGCAAATAAATGCATCACGAACATCCTCACGCAAAAGGTTGCAAGGTAGAATTGTCTTTTCCGGTAAATAAGTAGGAACGTCCTTCATCGAGTGGACAGCAATGTCAATATCACCATTTATCAAAGCTTCATCTATTTCTTTTGTGAACAAGCCCTTCCCACCAATGTCTGCAAGTGGCTGACTCAATATTTTATCACCAGTTGTCTTTATTACAACAATTTTGATAGCCCCTTCCTCGGCTAGTTCCGGATGGGAAGCCATGAGTTTGTCACGTGTCTCGTGAGCTTGCGCCAGTGCTAATGGGCTGTCCTAAACATGAAATTCAAAGAGAAAGACCCGTGATCAATTTCGAACATTTGGATAAAAAGTGTTAATTTAAATAATGTTAACCATTAGAACAAAAGAAGTGAGAAAAGTACACTTCTTCAATGAGAAAGTCTCTAAATTGTTTTGAAATTTTCTAAAATATGAATTGTAGTAATCTTAAATTGATATATTTTCAGTTAAATGAAGACGAACTATCAATTTTGTATTTTAAATTAAACCAAACTGAATAATGTTCATTAATAATAAAAACATCAACGTCTAATCAAATGAATGATAGTCAAGCCTACATTTACATGTTCAAATGAGATTCAGGAAAGGAAAAGCATGTATAAAACTAAAAAAAATGCAAATTAGATATGTAACTTACAGAATCAGCAAAATCAGAGCAAGATTTTACAAATACATCAAATAAACCCAAGATAAAAGAAAACATCCATTATTAGGAAAAGGAAATGACCATCCAGCTCAGTTGGTAGAGCGCCATGAGGGTATTTCATAATTTGAACTCCTTGTTCTGAACCTAGTATTGGGGTACCCATTAGAATAAGGGACAACCATCCATTATTAGGAAAAGATCACTTTCGCGTATTATAATTCAAACCCATCTGAGTTCAACAACCAAGGGTGCCGAAGATCCACATTATTAAGTAATAAATCCAGAAAACAAATCAAAAGGGCTAAGAACGTACCTTCCTCTAGTACCTATTCTAAGAACTGCAACTTCTATTTTAGCAACAGAAGCTTTTATAACCCCAAAACCCTGTTTTTTCTTCCAAGAAGGAAGAGATTGAAGCTTGAGGTTTCGAAGGGGGACGTCAAGAACAGAGACGGAGCCACCGCCACAAAAGTTGACTAAGCCGCCGCTTAGAGGAGAAGCTGCAGTCTCCATTGGAAGCTTGAGAATTGGATAGTGAAATGGGAGAAAAGAAGAAGAAGAAGGAGAAGTTGAAAGCAAGACAAAGAGATTGAATTAAGCTTTGAAGGGATCCGCCTTCTGTTATTTGTCTGTTGAGATTGAGAGTAAAGTAAAAGAAAAGGAGTTGGCGAGGTCAGACACCGGATAGGATATTGAGATTACAAAGGTTTTGATCCCCTACGCTTTGGTTACACTATAATTTTTTACAATTATTTGATTTAAGTATAGCGTGTTTTGATCTCGCTTGACTTTATAAGATTAATATTTTTATAAAAAAAAATCGAATAGAATTAGATTAGATTTTTTTTCGAAAGATAAAATTAATTCGAGTTTAAGTTTAAGATGAGAAATATCTAATTCAACTTAACCCAAAAATAATAATATAATTGATCTTATATATTTTAAAAAATGATATAATACTCGTCTCTTCATATTTTTATGTTAGGTTCTTACTTTATCTAATAAAATTGAGATCATATATATCAGATCGGGTATAAGTTTTTA